TCACTCCGTAACTGGCCCCACTAAAGTGCATCTTGCTCTTATACCTGACCTCTCATAAACCCATCACACAGACAGGCAGTCCCCCTGCGCCCCAAGCCTGCCCCAAATGGCGTGGCCTCGGGAAACAGAGGGTAGGGGGAGCAGGGAAAAAGTCATGGCGCCCCACCCCCAGCATCTGCCCGGAACATTCTGCTCCACACACACGGCTGAAAGCAGACCCCATACACAATTTCACAGGTTTTTTTCTACTTTCCATCACACTGAAAGCATTTTCTCATAATATTAAAAAGAAACTCTTCGAAAAAATGCTGTCAAAGGACCACATAACTCATAGAGTCTGGTTTCCTTAACTCTTTCTCGACTGGAACACTCAGGGTGTTTCCAGCTATTTCCACGAACACACCACACTATTAATCCCATCTCTATCCCTGCGCTGAATTCCCAGATGACGGTGACCAGAGAGACTGTGCAACCTAGGCACGGCCCCCGCTGCTCCCCCCAGGCAGGTGCGCTCACCTTCCAGGTGCCTCCTCTGGTGGTCCAGCATGACGTCCTTACGGTAGAACATTTTGTTGCAGACTTCACAAGCAAACTTTTTGTCCCCGTGCTTCTTTTTGTGCTTGGAAAGGTTACTGTTGGTGGAGAAGAATCTGAAACACATCTCACATTGGAACGTCTTGTCATCTGTCCGGAAAGTAAGCAAACACACAGCGACTTTCAGGTGAGTGGTGCGGAAGTCAGGCTGCACGCCACGGCCGTGGGGCTGGCAGTGAGGCGCGGGTGTGGGGCAGAGACGGTAAGACCACACCGTGGAGCAGCACGCACGCCCCGCTGCAGCTTCTGCCCAAGCACCAGGCTGGAGCGGCTGGTTCTCAGCGTGAAAAGCAAACATTTAGCTCCTGTCCTTCCAGGCCAAGCCGCTTCGGCCCCCCTCCAGCATGCCCCCATCTCCCACGGCAGCCACCGGTTCCTCTCCCAGGAATCACGCTGCCCCACCAGGGACGATGGCAGTGCCCAGCCTGGCTCTGTCCCACTGCACGCTCTCCCTCCAGGTGCCCAGGACAACCCTCGGCTCCCCTGAAGGGCTGCTTTGGGTGAGCACAAGCAGTGCGGCCACTGGGACGTGCAGGAGATGGCACCTTTTCAGCTGGGTCTCTGCCCAACACACCTGGCCACTCCCCTTGTTCAAGGGGGTCTCAGGGCATCACACCCGGTACAGGACCCCAGCCAGCACTCCCCTCTCTCAGCCTTGTTCCCTGCTCTGTCCCCTCACCCCCATCACCTTCCTCCAACCCGCGCTTCCTCCCTTCTCCCCTCCATGCCCTCCTTGTTCCCACCAGGACCCGTCCCTTTCCATGAGTGTGTCACCTCCACAAGCCCCAGAAGGCAATCACACTGCCCACAGCACTCCTGCAGGGCCAACCCCAGAACTCTCAGACCATCAGATGCCCAGCAGAACCCTCTCCCGCCCCGTGACCCTGTGCAGGTGCGCATGACAGGGTG